CCAACAAGCATTGCCAGGACACTTCCAAATGCCAAGGAAGCCAAGTCACATATGAGGCCATTAATTATGTCTAAAGACATGGGACTGCAGGAAAGAAATATCTTATGTTCAAGTCTTTCCAAAAAGATAATAAAAACAATTCTCACTCTCAATAAACTCACAACCCACAAAGAAGATTGATACATATAGAATAACATAGTCTAACCCCACACACAAAAGTAAATTAGACATGGATCAAAGACCTGAATGTAAGTCATGAAACCATAAAACTCTTAGAAAAAAACAGGCAAAAATCTCTTGGACATAAACATGAGCAACTTCTTCATGAACATATCTCCCTAGGCAAGGGAAACAAAAGCAAAAATGAACAAGTGGGACTATATCAAGCTGAAAAGCTTCTGTACAGCAAAGGACACCACCAATGGAACAAAAAGGCATCCTACGGTATGGGAGAATATATTCATAAATGACAAATCTGATCAAGGGTTGACATCCAAAATATATAAAGAGCAAACCCACCTCAACAAACAAAAAGCAAATAATCCAATTAAAAAATGGGCAGAGGAACTGAACAGACACTTCTTCAAAGAAGAAATTCAGATGGGCAACAGACACATGAAAAGATGCTCCACATGGCTAGTCATCACTGAAATGCAAATTAAAACCACAATGAGATATCACCTCACACCAGTAAGGATCGCTACCACCCAAAAGACAAACAACAACAAATGTTGACGAGGTTGTGGAGAAAGGGGAACCCTCTTACACTGCTGGTGGGAATGTAAATTAGTTCAGCCATTGTGGAAAGCAGTATGGAGGTTCCTCAAAAAACTCAAAATAGAAATACCATTTGACCCAGGAATTCCACCCCTAGGAATTTACCCTAAGACTGCAGCAGCCCAGTTTGATAAAGACAGATGCACCCCTATGTTTATCGCAGCACTATTTACAATAGCCAAGAAATGGAAGCAACCTAAGTGACCATCAGTAGATGAATGGATAAAGATGTGGTACATATACACAAGGGAATATTATTCAGCCATAAGAAGAAGACAAATCCTACCATTTGCAACAACATGGATGGAGCTAGAGGCTATTATGCTCAGTGAAATAAGCCAGGTGGAGAAAGACAAGTACCAAATGATTTCACTCATCTGTGGAGTATAAGAACAAAAAAAAACTAAAGGAGCAAAACAGCAGCAGATTCACAGAACCCAAGAATGGACTAACAGTTACCAAAGGGAAAGGGATTGGGGAGGATGGGTGGGAAGGGAGGGATAAGGGGGGAGAAAAAAGAAAGGGGGCATTATGGTTAGCACGTATAATGTGTGTGGGGGGGCATGGGGAGGGCTGTGCAACACAGAGAAGACAAGTAGTGATTCTACAGCATCTTACTACGCTGATGGACAGTGACTGTAATGCGGCATGTGGTGGGGGGACTTGGTGATGGGCGGAGTCTAATAAACATAATGTTCCTCATGTAATTGTAGATTAATGATACCAAAATAAAAATAAATAAATAAAAAAAGAATAACATATAAAAATGTTCAGTGACAAGTGTTATAATAGAAGTGCCTATAATATTATGGGAACACCAAAGAGGAAGTAACTAACAGAAAAGTGAAGGTGTCAAAGAGGAGATAGATCTGAGTTGGATACTGAATGAAAAACAGGAGTTTGTACAGTAGAAAGGAAGGTGAGAACTTTTTAGGCAGAAGAAAACTTTGTGCAGAAGGCTTGATATTTCTATTGCATGGTTTTATTTTTTCTTACAGAAGAGGGAGCAGTGGTGGTAGTGGTGCCTAGACTGGCACCATATGAGACTAGCAAAGGCACCCTATTTGGTGGGATATATGAATGCTATGCTAAGAAAATATTTTAACCTGAGAATGATGGAGAACATTAAGAAGGAATGTATGTGTATGTACTGATCCTATCTGAGAAGACCAATAGCATGGTAAGGGGTGAGGCTGATGGCCAGTTTTCAGGTACTGTTGCTTGCAATCCAGTGAAATCAATTTAGCAGGTGACATCCTGAATTTTTATTTAAAATGAATTAAGGTGAAATAGAAAATATCAGAAGTTATCTGACATTGTAAGGATAAGTTTTACAAAACTTTTATATCAGATATACGTGTATCTTCTGGCTCACTAGGTAAAATGCATTTGTTACTATAAGCCATGGTCAAAAATGTCTGAGTTGGGTGAATAATGACTGATCAGACAAAAGGGTGAGGAAAAAGTCATGTAGGCCTCCCAGGTTTCTAGTGTGGGCACCTGAATGGATTACAATGCCATTGCCCAAGATAGGGAACAGAAGAAGAGGCCTGCTTTTATCACGTCCATGTGGGGAAGCTGGAAAGCCCAGACAGTATCCTCTCTCAGCCCTGTTTCAGCACCCACAGTCAAGACTCTTGTTCAGCAAAGACAAAGCATACATAGTCATTGCTGCAAAAGCTCACATGAACATACAACCAATAACAGCCCTCTAGGAACTGGGAGAGTCCTAGTCCTGAATTCCAATTCACACAAACACTTGGGAACGAGAGAAAGCAGACAGGCTAAAAGAAACATCAAGACCTCCTCCAGGGAATTAATAGGATGTGAAAAATCCTATCCCTGTTTTAAGAGTCAAAAGGGAGCCATCACACTTGGGATCACAAGCAAGCTTTCTGAGAAATCCAATGCAGGATACTCTGTTTATTAGGGTTTTGAGGGGTTTTGGGGGATGGAGGGGGTGGGAAGATTCTTTCAGCTCTTCTAACTGCTTTCTAAGCCTCCCCACCTCTCCCTCACACTACATTTACAGGAAGTATTTCAACCCTACACATCTCCAGCAAGGCCACCAAGTCCTGTAACACTGGATCTGGCTACCCATCAGTTACCCTCCTGGAGCTTCAAGCTAAAAGAACACAGCTCCTCCACAGACTTGGGATAGACCCATTATGCCTCCCAATACCCCATCGCTGAGAAAAGCGAGTTTCCCCAATCCTTCTTGGAGGATCACAGCACAATTAGGCCCCTACCTACCTTTTGTTGTCCTTTCTCAAAGAATTCCTCCACAGACCTGCCCTAGACACTGCAGACAACTGGCTCCCTCAAATACTCCATGTTCTGTGTTTTGTTCCTGATATTCCCTCAACCTAAAATGCCCTCCTCTACTCAGACAGAAATTCTACTCACTCCTCACAGTGCATCTCAAATTTCACCTCTACCACAGAGCTACTCTTTATCCAACACTCCCTCCACCCCACCAAATTTGGATTTAGTCATTCCCTCCTT